CCCCCACCCTTAATCATCCACCCCCACCACCTACAACACACTGTACTTTATTCCCTTCCAGACTTCGCCGTCCTGACCCTCTGGAGCGTAACACAATGCGCCATCCTCCCAAACCCCATGTCAACATCCGGGTCAGAGATCGTTGACCTTTCTTTGCCGCCAACGTCATCAGGAGCACTGCTCACAGCCCCAGCATCCTCAGCTCTCACGCCATTGGCTGCTGTTGCTGCCGCTGCAGCTGCAGCCGGCAGTTCCGGAAGTGACGACACGATCAAGGACGTGGTGGATGATATGGTCTCCAAAGCTAATGACGCCGTCAGCGCTGTAGCAGAAGTAACCAGTGAGGCCGTGGAGAAAATCACTGACGCCGTTAGCGAGGCAGTTTCGGGCACTTCTGACGTCAAAGAGCGAATCAGTGACGTCAAAGAACGAATCAGTGACGCCAAAGAGCAAATTAGCGACGCAAAGGAAGCTGCGACGGAAGTTATGAGCGACGCTGTTGAGAAGATAACGGAGGCCAGCTCGGACGCCGTGGACGATATGTTGGACGTGGTTCAGGACGCCGCCGAAGATGCAGAAGAGATCCTCCAGGATGCTAACTCCGCCCCGGATGCTGACATCACGCACGAGATTCTTGACCACATAGACGACTTTGACGAGAGCATGGACGACTCAACGACTAGCGATGACGACAGCGCCAGTGACAGCAGCGACGACGTGTCATCTGTTTTGGACCTGGTCTCCGACTTCACAGACGAGATGGGACTGGGCTCACAAAGCGACGGTGGGGACGATAGCAACAACAGCGACGACGACAACAGCTTCAGCGAGGTGGTAGAAGAACTTCCTTCTTTCTTCGGCGGCAATGATAACGACGTCGACAGCTCCTCAGACGATGACTCCTCCTCTTCGATGATGAGCAACGCTTTCTCAAGGGAGAACGAAATCGATGACAAGCTGGAGTCTATGGTGCGCCCCTCCACCTGGTTCCAGTATCTTCTCAAGCACGACGAGCCAGATACCAGCAGCGAGGGCGGGAAGAGCGGGTCTGTCAGCCTGAACCGCTACCTGGGCAAGATGAGTCGTGTGCGGGGCATGATGGACGTCCTGGAGGCCAGACTCGCCGGCGCCACTGCCGTCTCCTCCGGTAAGCTCATTATTTTGTGTGGCATCTGGGTGAAAACAAACGCTCCTCAAAATAATGATATCAAAGAAATTGACATTTTATCACGCGTTGGGTAGTTTTTACAATTTTTATTTTGGCTCAACACCGCTTATACACCTCTAAAAACACATTTATGAACAGCTTACACTGAAAAATGTAAATGAAAAGCATAAAAAAACAAAGCAAATTGTAAACCTGCAGTTTCCGAGGACACTACACTCAAGATTTGGAAGTAAGATAACTTTTGCAGCCATTTTCTTGCTAATTTTACCTCTGACATGAGGCGGACCCCCCTTCCCTTTAAAAAACCCCACCTCAAACCCCCCCCCCCCACCCCGCGCTTCTGCCTTCTCTCGAAAATATTTCAACTTCTATTCGAGATAGACGAGTATATTTGTTCATTAAAAAATGAATAAATAAATGAGCAAGCTTTAAGTTTATATCAATAACATCATACGTCAAATTGTTTTTAAAGTAAAGAAAAGAAAAACAACAAACTGAGGAGCGCCTTATTCCACATCGATACATTAACTCTTTGCATACGGGGCGCTAGTTCGGACGGAGCAGGGCATTGCTCGGCTGTTTGCAGTCGTAACATTAATCTACAAAACCCAAGCAAATCTTCTTATCTATAATCAATCTGTACGTCTGTTGCATGGCATGTTCAATTTCACTCAATTGGAGTTTATTTTATTCGGATAGGTTCACTAGGAACGGGGGCACCGCTTGATTATTTACAGTTGTAACAACAATCTTCAAAACCCCAGAAAATTCACTTAGTCAAATTGTATGTCTATTGCGTAGGTCGTACGATTTGACTAAGTTTGGTGTTTATTTTTCTTTCTCCAAATATTACAGCTTGGAGTGGAAGTACAGGGAAGTTTGTAATGATAAAATATGTTATTAATGGCAAAATAACTGGCAGTGTACAAAGCAGGAAAAAAAACCCGCCCGTATACTAAGAGTTAAGAAATATTTTGCAAATATTTGGGTCGCAGTTTGTTCAGTCGGTGAAGTATGGAACGAATGGCCCTAGTTCGAATCCTCAATGCGGCGTTCTGAGCGTCGGTTGCTCTAAGGAGTTTTAAGGCCCTCTACCCTTAACTTAATTGGCTCACTTCTATCAGAGATGGGCGTTAATACCGAAGGTTGCAAACATTATAATTATAGTGTTGAGATGACGTCAAAACTATACAATTACCAATGGCTAGGGAAGGGTAATGTTTCACGGTACCACGGAGGCGGGGTTCTTCGACCCTGTCGATCAGGGCCGACCGGGGCTCAATGGAATTCAACATCATTAACAAATAGACCCCCCCCCCCCCCCCCTCCATTCTTACCCATACTCTGCTCGGGAAATGTACTCATATCTTCCGTGGGCAAAGATGAAGAGCTAAACATTCACACAACAAACACCGGTGTAAACTGTCCGAGCAAATACCTGTTATAAGATTGATGATGCCCAATTTTGAATGTTTTACATATACGCACATACTCTATTCTCCCCCTAGCAAAAGATATATAATATGATAATATTGATGAGAGATTCCGTATAATCTACATGTACAACCCCATAATTTATTCACACCCGAACAAAGGTCTATTATAATAATATTGATGTCAGGTTCTGAATTATAAATAAACACTCATCGTTTATTCTTGTCCGGGTAGATATCTGTTATAAGATTGATGAGTGATTTTAAATGAAGAGCCCTCAAAGTGGCGTCGATGACCTGGTAGTTAGGCGCTAGTACTATCAATCGTAAGGTTGTGGGTTCGAATCTCTTCAGGGATCTGGCTTTGTGTCTATGGGGCAGTCACTTTAAAAGAAATTTCCCCACTTCACCCTATTAGGATTGGTTCCTATCTACAGACAGTGACAGATTTTGTCACTTTGTTAACGTTTGAGCGCGTGCAATCCGCAGCGTGCACTGTATGCTTCCTTTGAATTCGATAATGTTTCTGAGTTTTTAAAGGGTCTGCTGGGATATTAATACATAGTTGTAAAGCACATAGAATGATAGAGCCTGCTGTAGAGCGTGGTTTTACGCTATTTATTATTATTATTATTATTAT